ATTGGCTTTGGAGTCTTCAGGGACTCCCGCAGTTGAACTGCAAAGACATCCTCATCAAGTACAGTGCTTCTAACACTCTGGGTACTTTAAGATTCTCCACCACTACTGCTTCTCAGAGGGGCTTTTTCGTGTTAGAAAACTCTCAAAGGAGACGAAGCCTCCACCCCATGGAGTTTTACTACAGACCTCCCATACACTTGTTCATTCCGTATGTCCCTCTTTTCCCTGCCTCATCTTAATGGTAATGTGGTGGTGTGAGGTTTTGCTTGTTGGAAAACTCTTTTCCGTTCCTTTGGCTCTTTTGGGGGAGTATCTGGGTCCACGCTGTCATTAAAGGCAGTGCGGCATGGACATGGCTTCTAATGTTGCTGCTGTCACTTACTAGCCGTGTAGTCGCAGGAGAGTCATTATGCATGTGTCTCCATCTTTCTACTTTGAAAACAAGGGCATGGTCATCCTGAAGACTCATATTTGAAAGCTTTGTAACATCAGAAAGCCAGCAGGCAGCATGAAACGCCCACTCTCTCGTGGTAATGTTGAGTTTTTATCCTTTTTTGATCCCTGGTGCTATTTTTATGTTACTGGCATTGTCAGTGTGCAAGCAAACGCTTTACTGCTTCCCGTCCTCCATGGGATGGCGCGTATTTTATAACTGATGCTCTCTGCCGTGTGGGCTTTCCTCCTGGTTCTGTGCTTGTTTGTGTAAAGGGGACGGCCGTGCCACCTTAGTCTCAGAGTCACCCCACGGCCATCTGCCTGCCTCTCTGTAACACCTCAGCGCCCCGTGCTCTTCCAGGCCCTCTGTTTCCCATTGATATTCCCTCACCAAAGGAGGCGAGCTCAAAGAACGCTGCTGGGCAAATGGTATGACAGTTTTAGTAATTTGAAAACTTCCTGCCTTGTGTGTTTTTCATTATTGACAATGGTGTTCCAGGAGAATATATGGCTCTAGCAAGACTTTGGTCAATTTTCCCCTGCTCTTCAGGTGTCATCTGTGTACTAATGAAGTCATTGAGCGTGCTTTGTATTCAGTGGCTGGCGCCTCGTTGGCTTAGAGGTCCCACACAGGTCCTGCTACAGAACAAAGCGCGGGTGTATGACAAACACTAGAAATTCTTAAATGCATTTTCATCACCAGGGGCCTCTTCTCCCACATTTTTCAAATTTCAAATTGCTACCTACAGACATAGATTTTTTTGAAAAGTAGAATTTGGAAATCTGCCTTCCAATCAATTGTTGACAGAGATGCAAAGTCTCGTACCTGCTGGAAGTTGAACACACCATTTTGCAGGCAAGAGAACTATGGGATAAACTTTGCAAGTTGCCTGGAGACAGCTTCCAAACCATCCAGCTTTTCTTTGTCTCTCCTGGTTTTTGTTGTTTTGTTTTGATGTTGTTTTGGGTGAATACCTTCCATTGTGGGGGAATTTGTATTCTACTAGTTGTAAGAATGATGGCAGCGGAGATCAATTTTTCTGTTATTAACAAAGACATATGTTGTCCAGCATGAAAAAAACCATAGAAGGGATAAGAAGGGAGGGGCAAAGAACAAGGAGAGGCACCCTCTGCTTCCGGGTTGCTTTGTGGACATTGAGATCACAGGGCCTGGAAGAATCATGTTCTGTATCTAGCTTCAAAATCTCACATCTCCCATAATCCTCTTTTTTCCCTGGGTCTTTTTTTGACAAATAAATGCTGTATAATTCATCTCTTTTTCTCTGAACTGATAGGTATTTTCTCTTGCTGTGCAGTTCGGGTCCTCTCCACGGAGAGATGGTCAGGAGATATGTACTTTTTTATTGGCAATAGAAGTCTATATAGGAGCCAGGCAGTGGTGTCGCACACCTTTAAGCCCAGCATTCACGAAGGCAGAGGCAGGTGGACCTCTGAGTTCGAGGCCAGCCTGGTTTACAGAGGGAGTTCCAGGACAGTCAAGGCTACACAATAAATCCTGTCTTGAAAAACCAAAAAAAAAAAAAAGTCAATCCAAGAAAACCTACAACAAAGCAAACACAAGCAAGTTGTGGTGACACTTATCTGTAATCCCAGCACTCAGGAGTCTGAGGCAGGAGGATCACAGGTTTGAGGCAAGCCTGAGCTAGGTGTAAGACTGTCTCAAAACAAAACAAAATAGGACAAACAAAAAGCAAATGCAGATTCTTCTACTGCCTAGGACTCAGGAGTGGACTCTTCTTTGCTAGTTCTCTGTCAAGTGAATTTCAGGAAACATAAAGCATTATCTATACTCAGCAGGTATACGGAAATCATTCTGTTGCATGGTAATTCTGAGTCAACAGAGGTGAAGCTATCACTAGAAGTCTTGGTAAAAATTCCACTGTTGTTTCAATTACTTTTTCAAACCTTTACGCTTTTATTTGCTTTGTGTGTTTGGGTGTTTTGCCTGGTTGCGTGTCTGTGCACCACAATACTCGTGCCAAAGACGCCAGAAGGGGGCATCAGTCCTCTGGAACTGGGGTTACAGACGGTTGTGACTTGTCATGTGGCTTCTGAGAATTGAACCAGGGTCCTCTTGGAAAGTAGCCAGTGCTATTAACCACAAAGCCACCCCCTCCAGCCCCATTTCAAGTGATCTCCCCCTCTCCCTCCATATCTCCCTCCCCCTCCCCTTCTCCCTGTCCCTGTCTTGGTTTTTCAAGACAGGATTTCTCTGTGTAGCTTTGGAGCCTGTCCTGGAACTGGATCTCACAGAGATCCCAGAGATCCGCCTGCCCCTGCCGCCCAAGTGCTGGGATTAAAGGCATGTGCCACTACCACCCAGCCTTCATTTTAATTGATTTTTAAGGGAAAGGATTCAAGCAGATTTTGTCCTGGCTTTGCTTCTCTATAGTAGATCAACACATTACAAAAGAATGATAAACCATTACCATCTGTCAGGGATTGGCTGTGGATGCAATGTAGGGACTGTGAGAATTGATCAATAAGTACTTATTGAGAGTCCACTGTGTTCTCAACTATGCAGGATAGATCAGAATGTAGGTCCTGCCCTTGAGTGGGTTATGGTCTGCTTGGCATGAGACAACAGAACTGGCAATGCATTTTGCAACATAATGACGTAGTCAATCAAGGAACACAGATGCTGTGGAAATTTGAAAGAAACTTCCTTGATGAGTAGAATGATGGGAATGTTGAGGCTTGAGCTGGAAGAAAACTATGAGTAAGAAGGAAGCAATGGTCACATTCAGGCACAGGCATTTTACATCACAAGATGAAAACAACCAGAAGTGAGAATCAGTAAGAATCAGAGGTAAGAGAGCCACGTGGGGTGAGGACCTGGGGCACTTGAAGTCTGGAGAGTTTCCATTCAAACTGTAACCTACAGGGAATCAATGGCAGTGTTTACAAGGAAGAGACACCACGAAAGCAATGTTTTAGAAGGCTAGCAAATGCATTTTAGATCGTAAGAGGGAAGAATGTGGGGGCAGGAATACAAGAAAGAAAAAAACCAATGGAGCAAAGGCAGGCACTTGGGGGCTGAACTACAAATGTGACAGAGGAAATAGAAATGAATATAACAGAGATGGCTAGAGAGGACTGATCGCATATCGGAAGGGGTGGGGGAAGAAGACTGTGCCTAGAACTCTGAAGTTCTAGGTTTGTCTCCAAAAGGGCCGGGGAACCGATGGAGGAGAAAGTAGATAGACCTTTATTCCTATTGCGTTTGAGGTGACAGTGGACAGCTAATGGGGATTTCAGCAGGCAACCAGGAATGGAAAAGCCTGAGCAGTGGCTGTGTGCATTCTTAGAGAAGGACGACTCTTTCAGACGTGTCGGGGGGGGTGAGAAAGTACATGTCTGAGGAATGAAGTAGGCGACGACATCAAGTGGACAGTAGTGGAGAGAGAAAGATGCTATAGACTAGCCACGAGAAGTTCCATGGACCTAACCATGACTAGGACACAACTAAGAAAAAGAACGAGGGGAGGTGTACAGAGTGCTATGACTTCCTCCAGCCACACCTTGCCTTCGTGGGGTGGGACAGAGGCAGGAGGAACAGAGTGACACTGTCTGGTGAGGAAGACAAGGGGAATCTACAACAGATACATGGGCTCCGGGAGAGGACAGGCTCCAGCGTATGGGTGTGCGGGGACAGGAAGAATCAATCCTGTTCGTGGAGACTGGAGCCTGCTAGAGGTTACCCCCTTCACAGCAACGGAAGGGAAGCCAGTTACATGTGTTCCAGAACAAATGTCTCCGGGTGGATGCATCTCTCTAATATGGACTCACTTTGCCTCCACTTCCTGCTCCGGGCAAGGAAACTCCCATCACCCACTCTCTAGGCTCAGGGTAGTAGAGGCCTCCAGGGCTGCTGCTGGTAGGGGGAGCAGATTTTGTTCACTGGAACCTGGTCTGATCTGCTTGCCATCAAAGTTCCTGACTCACATCAAAGATGGTTTTCTATCATGTGAATGCTACAGTCACAGCCAAATAGCCCACTTGGCAGTCCCCTGTCCTTCAGAGCTACCAGGCCCGGCGTCTACAGCTCCACTTAGGATACGGGCTCTGCCTCTGTAGAGGTGGTCGTGGGGTGTAGTGACGGAAAGACAGGTGTTAGAGAAGAGCAGTAGACAGGATGGTAGAGGTCCTCTAGACAATAACAGTTGAGTATCTGTGGAGAAGGAGTAAACCAGGTCACACCCTCCCATCTCCATCTTGATTGGGTATGGCAGGCATACATGTATGCACAGATACACAATGAGCAACATAAAAGAGGTATTCACACACACACACACAAAAGCTGATGGTGGACACACATTTAGACATCTGAACCCATATTCAGGCACTCGGGGGCCCGATTGTTCAGATAGACATCTGCACATCTCCTTCCTCCTGGAGAGTATCCTCTCCCTGGCATCCAGGGGTGAGCTGAGGCAGGTCCCTCTCTTCCAGGGGTGAGCTGAGGCAGGTCCCTCTCTTCCAGGGGTGAGCTGAGGCAGGTCCCTCTCTTCCAGGCCTCACGCCTTCCCTTTGTGTTTTTCCAGGTCGTGATATGACGAGCACCACTCTACCTGGTTACCCCCCTCATGTGCCCCCCACTGGCCAGGGAAGCTACCCTACCTCCACCCTGGCAGGAATGGTGCCTGGTAGGTGACAATGCTGTAGATGTCTGCTCTAGGTGGGGGTAACTAAATTGTGGGTGAGCTGCTCAATGGTCTGTAGTCTGAGGCTGGGAGTGGGAAGACAGCCAACAAACCATTCTCCTTCATCCCTCCTTCTCCTCAGAAGTCACAGTCGGCCCTTTAGAAACAAGGCAAGGAGGGAACTTACAGAAGCGCCCCCTTGTGTACACAGCTGTAGGCTATGGCCCCTCCTCAGCACCCACCCACCCAAGCCTGCGCCCCAGCGCTCCAGCCCACCCCAGCTAGCTGACACTGCTTGGAAGAGCCTGCCCTGGTTTCCATGGAAACTTGGAACCTAAGACCATTTTCAGGGGCATGGCAGTCATTCAGCCAAAGCCACACTGGTCCACACCAACCAGAGGAGGAGAGCACGGCAGAGAACCAACCCCACCCCAGAGAGAGAAGGAAGCTAGTCTCAGAGTGGAGGGCAGGAGGGGACAGGGAGACCTTGGCTTCAGAAGGAAACAAACTAGAACACCTCTACACTTCCTCAGAGGACACGGTGCCCTGGGACTCTGGCACACCTTTTTGCTGAGAGGCGTTGGACTTGGGTTTGGCATTAAGGAGGCAAAGGCTGTGTTTAAAGCCTTCTATCTCCATCCTCCACCCCCAAGTGGGCGTGGCTTAAAGTCAAAGGGAGCAGAAATTCTTGTCTGCAGAAACACCAACATCTCCTCTCTTAAAAATGACAAACAAGTCCCCAGCCTGCAACCCACTGCCTCTGGAGTCTTTCGCCTGCCCTGTTCCTGAAGTTCAACCCTCGCTGGCTGACGGGGGGAGAAGGAGAGGAGAGAAAGGAGGGTGATTGGGCAATCAAGGAAGTGGCCTGAGTACGCAGAGGCGGGGGGGGGGTTGACAAAATGCGGGAGTCCACTGCACAGGGCTGCGAGGAGCTGGAGGTGTGAGTAGGGATTCCTACTCAGGCTTGGAGAAGGCAAGGAAAGACTTTGGAGGTAGATGAGTGAGCAGGTGGAGGCTGGAGGAGGTCTTAGGGAGGTGGGGGGGGAGGAGAGCGGGGGTGGGGGTGGGGAGTCTGCAGGGAGGTGGAGATGAGGGGAACCGCGGAGAGCTCATGGTGGCAAGGGGGGAGTCGTTAAACAGAATCTAGTGCTGATGAGGAAATTACACTTGTTTCATTAGCGATGGGGAAGGAGATAGCTCAGTTCCTCTTGGTCACAGTTGAGCTCAGAAGCTCATTATCCTGCTGCACGCATGCTTTCCCTCCTCGTCAATAAACAGGCTTTCCAGTGGCTGCATCCGCCACCCCCACCCAGCTCCTTCTTGGAGTGGGGCCCCTTCTCCTCTACTTAACCCGCGGTTAGGGATCACTGTAAACAGTCTGGGGTCATCACACAGGAGAAAGGGCGAGGGGGAAACCCATAGGCCTGGCCTTTCTCCTCGTGGAGGGAGGGAGGCTGCTCTCCAAGGCTCCCAACCCACAGTGCCCTCCACTACTCACAGCTCCTGGGCAGCCGGCAGTCCACTTGATCCCTGCAAGTCTCCTTCCCCTGTGGTGTGGCCCTCGAATTGGGCCTCAGGAGGGAAAAGTAGGAGGGGTTAATTCCCAGAAGCGCACCACCATCGCCACCTGCCTAGTTTTGGCACAGAGCTGAGATGCCATTCTTGGAACTTTCTGGGACAAAGTGTCTCAAGGGTCTTCCTTCACCATCCTCCCCCCTTTCATCCTGTGGAGTTCCTAAAGCCACTGTCCACCATAAAAACTCTCCAGCCCCCAAGTTACTCAAGTGGGCACAGCCAGGCCAGGTCAAACCCGGGTAGCCAGCGGTGCTTCTCAGAGGAGCCCAGGCACAAACCTGCCCACAGATCCCTCCCTCCATGCCAAGGTGTGCAGAGATATGGATATTTCTTTTGGTGGCGGTCCCCGTGCAGACAGCATGGATTGCCTCGCCTCTGACCTGCCCCCAGGGGTACTTGCTCTGCTTGTAAGACCCGAGACTAGTGCGGACTAGTGGGGAGGGCAGAAGAGGCCAACTGGGCACGTTGAGCACATCTAATTCCAGTTCCCCGCCCTCCCACAGGGAGCGAATTCTCAGGCAACCCGTACAGCCATCCCCAGTACACCGCCTACAACGAGGCTTGGAGATTCAGCAACCCCGCCTTACTAAGTGAGTACGCCACCTGGCTGGCCCGCGGCCTGGCGGCTCGCCTGCCCGCCCGCCAGCTCGGGCACTCAGGCTGCTTCGGGACACGGACCCCACTCTGGACCATCCCAACTCTGGGTGCCCGGATGAGCCAGGGAGACAGACTCATTATAGCGGCGCTGGGGCCTGGGGATCCCTCGAGGGCGCCTGCGCATCCTGACTCTCCCCTCCCCTGTCTCTCCGTCACTGGCAGGCTCTTGGCCGCAGTGGCCGTCGGATCCCTTGGCTTGTCCGCCACCAGGTGTCACCTGTCCTGTCCCCTCCCGCCCTGTGAATGCAGCACTCCTCCTGGGCACCTGGCCTCAGGGCCGAGCGAGCCACAGCACTCCAGTCCTGATCCTGCCGGACCCGGGGAGGGCTTTTCTTTGCTTTTCTTTCCTTTTTTGTTCTCCTGTTTGTCCTCTCACCCAGCCCATTCTTCTCCTGTGTTAACTTCCAGGTTCCCCTTATTATTATAGTGCCGCCCCCCGGGGCTCCGCCCCTGCCGCTGCTGCCGCTGCCTATGACCGCCACTAGTTACCGCGGGGACCACATCAAGCTTCAGGCAGACAGCTTCGGCCTCCACATCGTCCCAGTCTGACCGCCCACCCCAGAGGGAGGGAGGACCGAAGCGACGCGCTGCCACTCGGCCACCAGTCCCACCCCCACCTCCAGATGCCCCACACCCCTCCCCGCAGCCCTCCACGTCCCCCTGCCGATGGCCCGACAGGACCGGTGGAGCCGCGGGTGGGACCCTCAGGCCCGGGCTCACCGCCAGCCCCGCCTGCCGCCCCTCCCCGCCTGCCTGGACCACCGAGCCGCCCGGCAGCCCGCCCGCCTCCGGCCAGCGCGCCCGACACGTCTCTGTGACACACAATCAGCGTGGCCCACCCGGGGGCAGCCCGCTTCCGACGCCCGGGCGCCGGGAGGCTTCGCTGGAGCAAGGGAAACTAAGGAAAGGACTCTGTGCTGGAGGAGGAGCCGCGAGCGGAACCCCGGGGAAACTCCTGCCCCACCCCCGTGCCTGCCACGCTGACCCCGCCTTCCGTCTGCGTCCTGCCCCCGACAGTGGCGCCGGGACGCCAGGATCGGACTCGAGGGGCAGCGTCTGCGACGTCGGAGTTTTCCGAGGCTGGTACCCAGACGCCACTGAGCTCGTCCACGCGAACTGCCTGGTTCCCCAGGGCTGGGATCTCCTCCTGCAGAGACTCTACTCTCGGCCCGCCTCGTCCCTACCTCAGCGCCTCTCATCTGCTGGCCTCTCACTTTCCCCTCCTGGTATCCTCACCCCACGACGCCTGTGTCTGGTCCCCAGAACGCAGCGCCGTCGGGGCCACCGCGGGAACAGTTTCCTCCGACTGCGGCTGCGAGCACTGGCCTCTCCCAACAATAACTCGCTGCCCCCCACCCCAAACTCCCAACCCGCGGGCCGTAGGAGCCAGGAGCGAACTGACGACCGAGCGGCCCGGAGATGGGAACTGGAGGCTGCTCGTTCCCCCACCCTCAGCCTTCCCTCGGGCGGGAGCTGAACATAGCCGCAAAAAAAACGTCTACACTTATTTAAAATTTAGATGGTCTTTACAAAAATGAACAAAACGGAAAAAACCCAAAAGGCTGCTTTGTAGAAAGACGGTGTGTGTGGTGTGGAGGCGAACCTCTCTCTGTACATAACCTCTCCCTCTCCGCCCCGCCGGGTACCGTAGAGTCCCTGTCCCCCGCCCGCCCTGCCTGTAGACACACCCTGCTGTCCGTGCTGTGAGAGTCGCCGCTCGCTGGGGGAAGGGGGGACACAGCTACATGCCCACTAAAGCACAGCACGTCCTGGGGGAGGGGGCATTTTTTACGTTACAAAAAATTATGAAAGAAATCTCTATGCAAAATGACGAACATGGTCCGGTGGACACCTCTCGCCTCCGTTTTGTTGGCTGTTTCTCTGTAATTCCGTGTTTTCCGCTCTCACCTCCCTGCATCTCTCCCTCTTCATCTCCTCTTTCTCTGCTGCTCTCCCCTTCTGTGTCTCTTTCTCCGCCTCTCTTGTCTCTGTCTCGGTCCCGGCCCTCCTGCCCCAGGCCACCAAGGCTACATCAGAAGTGGCAGAGCCAGCCTGCGGGCTAGCCCGTTGTGGCCTTGCCACCGTGCCCCGGGAAGGCCGCCCTGCCCCGCCCCGCCCTGTAGTTGCTTTCTTGGTAGCGGCGATGCTCCCTGCATGTCTCCTCAACCGTGGATCGTGACGACTCGAAATAACAGAAACAAAGTCAATAAAAGTGAAAAATAAATAAGTAAATAAATAAATAAAAATCCTTGAACAAATCCGAAAAGGCTTGGAGTCCTAGCCCAGATCTCTTTTCCCTTCGAGCCTTTTTTATTTGAAAAGGAAAACGAGAAAAGAGGACAGTTTAAGGGAACTGCGGGCGCCTGGTCCCGGTCCAGTGACTGGAGCCGGATGGCGAGGACGCCTAGGTCCCAGCACTGAGGCCAGGCTTGATCCCAGTCTTGTGTGAAGCTGGCTGCGCTCAGGAGCACAGGGTCCAGGATCAGGCCTAGCCTTCGAAAGGTCTTCCACAGTTTTGGTCTCCTCCGCCACTTTCAATGTGTCGGTTCGTTTTGTTGTTTTTTTCTTCTTTCCTTCCTTCCTTGCTTTCTTTTTTGTGCACATGATAAATAATAATAACAAATAATAATAATAAAATTTTGTATGTCACTCCCCATGGCTCCAGGTTTCTCTCTCCCTGCCTCTGGGATAGGCCTGTCCTTGCACTGATGGACCCTCAATAATTCTGTCAAGGCTCCAACTCTACTCCCAATGCGACCTCCTCTAAATTCTTGGCCAAGATTCCCCTGGATTGCAGCTAAACTCTGATGATGGCCTGAGAAGTCTATGCCTCAGAACTGCCCCCACACACACACACCCAGGCTGTAGACCAAGTAGTTTTGGCTTTCCAGAACTACAGAAGGACTTTGACATGACCCTTCTCAGCCAATCAGCCTTGTCTTACTGCTAGTGTCCCGCAACCACACCTAGGGGTGCAGGTTCCCCGAAAGAGAAACTTCTAGGGCTCTTTCTTGGAGGGTGGGGGTAGCCTTCAGTCCTGTCTTCTCTACACTCCCCTAATGGGTTCAGCTGCTCATTGGTCAGCTGAAATTTTGTGCTGTGTCCCCTAAGAGACTGAAGAGGCTGCAAACCCTGGCCCCAAGTTTCTCCTTCCAGCATTTATTTCTAGACCCTAAGAGCTGGCTCATGGGGCCTCAAGGGCCAACTTGAGTGTTGCAGAGTCCCACCGGGGACATGTCAAGCAGTAGCTGAAACTATTGGCTCAGGCTTAGAATCTGGGTGTGCCCAGAGAGGAAACGCTTAGGTGCCCTGGGCAAAGGGGGAATGTGAGTGGGTAGGTGGATCAGCTGCTTCCTGCATATGAAGTAAGTTTTGTTCTTCTGTGTGAGCCTATGTGTCCTAGAGGAGGTCTAGCAGCAGAGAAGAAAGAGCAGTGTTGGTCTTTTTAAACACATTTGAGCTCAGGCAAGAGGGAAAGACCTATCTGTCCTTGTGTCTGTCTGTCTGTTCCTGTTTAGGGAAGGGATGTCTTGATTGTCCACGGCAGTCCTGCTGCATCAGAGAAACTTAGAAACGCACCCTGCCCATCTCTTCAGCATCCTGCCAGCTCCAGTCCTTCCCTTCTTGTCACGAAGACTTGTGGTACCAGCGGTCATCCGCCCCCCCACCCCAGGAGATGTTCCTTCTGAGCTCTAGGGAGTGTCTGTAGCCAAGCTTCCTTCTCAGGCTCTAATCTTCCAGGACTAGCTGAGAGCTGCAAACAGGGTCTGGAAGCAGACTTTAGTCTGAGGCAGTGCCTTCCAGACAGCTGCTCCTTACCAACATGCCAGAGACCTTCCCAGAACAGTTTACCCAGGCTTAATCATGTCACACCGCCAGGGGGTACACAGGACCTCCAACATAGTAAACCATCCGCACCTTCCTCCCGGTCCTCACCAGTGACTCTGTCTACTCTTACCCTGCAGGCCCTGGCCTCTTGGCCTCCAGCCTCCAGAAAGAACGAAGTCTTCACTCTCTGTAAAAGAATTCTGGAGGTTCACTCCAGCCTAACAATATCTACTTTTTAATGCTTCCCACAAAGCAATTAGTGCATTATGAATGAAATAGGAAACCATAGAAACAGAAGTTCTGATACCTTTTCTCAATCATAAGTGAGTTATTTCAAGTGCTAGATGTGCCCCCGTGGAAGTCCTGGTTACTATCTGATGCTCAACAGGGGATTTCTGAAAGCAGACAGGACTCTGTGTTAGACTGAAGTTCAGTGGGTTTATCAGGATGCTGCCCTAGCTAGACACTGCAAACACCGAGCCTTGGACACCTGCTTTTGCCTCCAGTGGCCTTATCTACTCATCATCAAAAGGAAAGTCAGAGACATTTGGGTGGAAGCCTCAGAATCTCTCCACTTCCTATTTACTCTGGTCTTCCTCCCACCCAAATAGACAGCAGAGGCCACACTATTTATGGTGGCTGTTTCCCGGTGGAAATCTCACACGGTGCCCTTCCTGGAGCTCTGGTTTCAGCTTGGAATCAGCCTGAAAGCCCCCAAACATACTCCGAAGTCTCTACCAGCTGCCTGGTCTACCTCACCCAGACACTAAGAGGGTCTGGTCTCCAACTTCAATTTTCTTTCACCCAATTCTGTCTGCTAACCCTGCCCCACCTCATTGGCACAGATTCCCAAGTGATATAACCAAATATAACGGTTTAATAGAGGGGAAAAGTGCCCCAGGTTGGGCAAACAGTTGCGGGCAAAGGCATGAAAGTACGCTAGAGTGGTTAGAGTACTGGGTACCTGGAGAGGAACGAGGAGAGAAAATGTCAGGTGAGGCTTAACATAGTTTAGTTGGTAGCCAAGACACTGGCGAGAATGTCAAAATGGCACCTCCCACTTAAGGAAAGCTGTGTACACAGTGTATCGGACTGAGTCTACACTGTTTCTTCCTTTCTCACAAAGCAGAGGTAGACAGTGTGGAGAAAACAAGGCTGCTCCCCAGGCGGGGCAAAGGCCCGTGAGGACCCTGAGGGGTTTCCTTAATTTTCACTGGGTCAGTAAAATTAGCTCCATTCTACCAGATGTTCAAGGCTAGGCTCAACTCTTCCCACGTCCATCTGATCCATCAGCAAAATCAGTCTCCATTAAAAATGGACCCAGAAAATGTTCATTTCCTGCCTCTGCTCTATACCATACTGTTCAAGTCACCATAACCTGTAAAGAAACACAAGAGAAAGGGGAGGGGGAAGGAAGGAAGGAAGGAAGGAATGAAGGAAGGAAGGAAGGAAGGAAGGAAGGAAATATAGGAAAGAAGGATGGATGGGGGGAAAAACCCTAATTGATCTTCCTGCTTCCATCTTCGCCTTCCAGTAGCAACCAGAGCGACCCTCCCAACTACACTCAGGACAGGTCCCCGTCTGCTCAAAGCCCTCAGCTGGTTCCCTACCTGGATCAGAGTAGACCCTGACTGGCCTCCCAGGCTCTCCACTCTCTGGCTGCTCACCCATGCTCACCCATGCTCCACCCTCACAGCCTGAACTCAGCTCCTGTACTGCCCCTGGCTCACTGTGCTCTCTCTGACCTCTGGGTTGTCCGTCAGTCACAGCAGACTTGTACCTCCTATGTCCTAAGGAAACTCATACTTGATTGCCTGGGAAACCCTTCCCCATGACTGGCTCTCGCTTCCTGTGTTCTCTACGCCAGTGTTATCTATCAGAGAGCCCTTCCAACCACCTTAAATAAAGCGGCACACAGGGACTGGGGATGCAGCTCAGAGCACTTGCCTACTACACGTAAGACCGAGCGTTTAACCTGCAGTTCTGAAATAAGAAAACAAACTATACAACACCACACCATTCTCCATTCACTTCCCTGCTTCTTCATATTGCCTGGAAGGTGAGATGTCTGTTTGCTGTTGAGACAGGGTCTCGCTATATGGTCCCGAGGGGCCTTAAATCTCTATGTAGACTCGTTTGGTCTGAAAGTCACTGAGATCCACCTGCCTCTACCTCCTGAGTGCTGAGGTTAAAGGTGTGCGCCGCCACACCCGGCAGGTTACGTCGCGTCTGTCTATCCCCTATCATGTCAATAGAGCATAAACACCTGCCTCTACCTCCTGTGTGCTGAGGTTAAAGGTGTGCGCCGCCACACCCGGCAGGTTACGTCGCGTCTGTCTATCCCCTATCATGTCAATAGAGCATAAACACCTGCCTCTACCTCCTGAGTGCTGAGGTTAAAGGTGTGCGCCGCCACACCCGGCAGGTTACGTCGCGTCTGTCGATCCCCTATCATGTCAATAGAGCATAAACACCTGCCTCTACCTCCTGAGTGCTGAGGTTAAAGGTGTGCGCCGCCACACCCGGCAGGTTACGTCGCGTCTGTCTATCCCCTATCATGTCAATAGAGCATAAACACCTGCCTCTACCTCCTGAGTGCTGAGGTTAAAGGTGTGCGCCGCCACACCCGGCAGGTTACGTCGCGTCTGTCGATCCCCT